AGAAGGAAAACGTTGAATAAACATCAAAAAAACTCAACCCAGATAGACTTGGGAAAACCACTGTACAGTATATCAACTACGTAAATATAAGGGTCGTTTACAAAGAACCAGTTTCTAGAATTATAAATAAAGCCCCTATTACAGAAGAATTTGTAAGAAAGAAACAATACAAAGAGTAATTCATCATTTTGAAAGATGGCTAAGTTTTGTAATTTGACTGCATTTTAAACCCAAATATTAAAATAGAAGACAATAGGTTACCTCATGTGTCGACTCAGGAGAAAACCACCGCAACAGCACTCCAAGATGTATCACAGCAGGTATTAGCTTGAACAGTAATGGTGTTGTTACCTGCATATTATCTGCGTGAGTATATATATACACCTTAACAAGCAAAAATATTTAAATTCGAGCAATAAATACACATCTGAAAGACTGACCACAAAGGGTCTCACTGCAATGTAATAGACAAGTATGAGTTAAATTAAGATGCAACTTGAGACAGTGCTGGGAAATCACATATATTTGAAAACTGGTTCAATACACTTACATCATAACCACAATAGTGGCAGAAAAGCTTCATAAATAACCACAGGTTTGCTTCATTTTTATAAGTTTCTTACAATTGGTCTGAACTAAGGTACTGGGGGATTCCGGTTTGGGCTCTTAAAAAGATGTGTCAAACTTCTTTCAACAATAAAGATAGGTGATGTTATAAAAATAACTAACGAAATAAATAAACGAAAAAAGTCACACAGAAGTACATCGGTGGCTTGGCTGATATTAGTGTTGGTGAAGGCATGAGGCAGGAACGGTGAATGATTAACATGACAAATCATAATTGAAGTTAAATCCAAAATTGGAAAATAGCAACTGGCAAAACAAATAACCTGAAATTCTTGATTAGGAACTCTAAAAACTCCTCCAGTGTAGATCAAATATCTTATACTACCTCCGCCCCCACAAAGATATGTTTACCACAACATACACAAAGTTCAATAAAACACAATATTGTTGGAAAATGAGAAAGTACTTGAAATACACTAAATTAATTATCATTAATATTCAATGACTATACTATTGGTTGTCCCATCCATCAGTAGATATTCTATGTAAGATGACAGGACTGTCTTTTTGGAGCACCTTAAATAGAAATGTTGAATATCTTTTTAGACGCAATTAGTAATAACTATGCATAAATATCTAGTAAGTATTGAAAAATCAAGTAAAATGGCGTCTTCTAAACTACAGTTTACATCCAACTACTTCTGCTAGTTGATATTTCATATTCAAGTAGGTGTCAAATTATATAGGTAACTCATCTCATTCCTGGGTCAAAGTTAAAAGAACGATCATCTGACCGTTTTCCTCAAATATATATCATGCACAAACACAGTGGTAATCTCTTGTAGATAATATATGCATGAATGATATTGCATAATACGAGTCTTTTCAACAGTAAAACACAAACAGAAAACTATTTACAAAGAATGCAAGATATAAGAGGTCATGAGTACTGCCAAAAACCACATAATTTAACAGTCTCACATACCAGGCTCAGAGCTGTTGTTCCAAGAAGCAGCATGTACAATTTACCCTGATTAACCAAATTAGTTGCCCAGTTCAGCAAAACATGTAAAGATGACAACAATAGTAAAATAAAATATTATGCAATGAACGTGATTTCATCAATAAGTAAAAATAAAAAATAAAGCAAGACCTCAATCAGCTTAAGATTTGATGCACGACTAAGAAGGACAAAAGCAAATTCTCCTATTTGTGCAAGAGACATGCCAACCTGCATGTGAATATAACCAAGATTCATTTGTCGAAAATAACAAATTAGAACTTAAAAAACAAGATAGGAAATTACATACAAGAAGCGATGTTTTGTTGTTGTAGCGGAATCCTCTCACAACCAAAGTGATCACAACTGTTTTTATCACAATCACCAATAAAACAGCTGCCACCAAGATATCAATGTGGTTCCAGAGGAAGTGAACATGGATAAGCATTCCTATACTGGCCAGAAAAAGGGCAGCAAACAAGTTTCGGATTGGCTCCACCTGCAAATCAATGAGTTCCAGATATGGAACCCTCAGTGGATTACGAGGAAACAGTATTGACTGAATAGTTTGAACAAATTAGCTTGATTTCTTGAGATCAGTTAGACCATATTAAATTTTCCTTCTTGTACATAGAGATCATTTTTGTTGGGTCTGCGTACAACTGACCCCCCAGACCCCAACTTGTTGGGAATATACTGGGTATGTTGTTGTTGTTATTGTTGTTGTACATAGAGATCATTTTTCAATAGGTGACTATTTTTCTGGTCTTCTTCTATTAGTCCAGTGTCCACTACAAATCAGTATACTAGTAAAGTGAATGCTTACAGCAGTCATCTGCAGATGCAATTTGAGAAATGTGTTGTCAATTTTCCACTAGGAGAGAACTAACACACTTGCGAATTGGCCTTCAACTAGAAAGTAAATACAAAGGCAAACGAGATAGACTACTATCAGTTTAAAGATGGCCCTACACACACATCATGCAGGGAAATACCAGCAGAATGTGTTAGGTATATGTTTTCTCGTAACAAATTTATTTCTCTGCTTGTCTTTTAATTCCATCAAATATATTTAGGTTGTTTTTGGGTTAAGGGCTTTGAAATCAAAGAAGTGTAAAAAAACCATGATATTTTAATGTCTAAGTCATGACTTCCACTCATTCTATGTGGCTCGTTTGGCTATAATGATATTTGTGGAGATTCAAATCAATTGCAAATCTAAATTTTCTTATCATATATAGCTTAACAAATCATAGAAAAATATTAATTCTTAAAAATAAAAAATTTTATAGCTTTAGCCTGGGAAATGTGCAGCATATGTTTGGGTGAAATGTGTGTGGGGGTTTGTGTACAAAATGTACTCTTTTTCTTCTTTGTGTAAGTGTGTGATGGTGGATTTCAATCCTTCCCCTAAAACCTTCCAACAAAAACCGAAAGCCTTCGGATCACTAATGATCTTATTTATTATCCATGGACATTTTCTTAGAACCTACTTGAAACAATGCTAATAATAACTCGTACAAATCTAGATAATAATGTCATCTTCGAACTCGTACTATTTAATCTTTTAGGATCTATTTAATCTTCATGCTAGTTTTCATAATTACTTTCTTGTGCTCATAGTGGTTTGTTTAGTTTGGTCTTCATTTCTAATTTAATTTCTTAGTAATAACGTCATCTTCGAACTCGTACTAGCCTAGATAATATCAAAATTGTCAATTGTAGTAATTAATTAATTTAACACCAATCTCTGTGGAATACGACCATACACTTCATTAGCTATAGCTGGTACACTTGCACGTAGTAAAAAATATTGGTGAACAAGCATTTAGCATAAAACATGTGAACCAAAACACTAACACTAACTGCTCTTTCAACAAAAAATTAAGTCAATAATTTTCTTGGAAATCGGCTTCAGCCCCTTTGGTGAAGGGCATCTTTCCGGGCAAGCATAGGGAGTTTAATCCCATGGTTATGTGTGTAGGGGGATCTTTCCATTGATATATATTGCTCTAACTCTTTGTTAGTTGCGTATTAAAAAAAAGTCGATAATACCAAATCAGCATATTAATGATTTACCAAACCAGAATCCAGGTGTTACTTCTGAAGAGAAAGGGAAGTATGAAATGCAGGTCCAAAGGGATTTAAAAAACATCAGGAAATATAAGAAATAAGAAATGTGCATATAGACATAATCACATCAATTTCCACCACCCTTACATGTTAATGCATAAAGATAGAGATGGGAGGAAACCCTAGAACTAGAACGTAAATATAAAAAAAGGGCACCTGTTCAAAAGTATGCTGAGCAAGATCAGTTGTTGATATCATCACTCCAGCAGCAAAGGAACCCAATTCAAGGCTTAGACCTAACTTGTCACTACACTGAAATGAGAAAACTATGCATTGAACATAAGTATTTGAGATGCATAGACAGGTATCAGACCAAGTGCGTGGTGGGAGAAATAGTTAAAAAGTGTAAGACTATAAATAGGAGATCTATTCAAATTACAGAAGTTACAGCAAACTTGACTGAGCCAATTTCAGCAAAATTTCATTATATTAGAGTAATGAATATTAATTGGGGAAGTCAGACAAACCCAAGCAACCAGCAAGCAGAAAGCCACAGATGCCAATTGATAGAGTTCATTAGTCTGCAAAATTGCAGGACCGAAGTCAAAAAACAGAAACACTGGTGAAGTATTACTTTGCTCAAACACAAAATACCTGTGAAGATAGGCTAATCATCAACTTAAGAAACCAGGGGATACAAGTGCGGGATAATATTACCAAGATCGCAAGAAATGTAACTAACACCACCAACCTGTCGAAGGAAAAGAACAGTCCTAATAAAATTGTCAATGAATCATGGAAAAGCAAGTCCAGTACACAAAGACGATACAAGAATCTTCAAACTGCTTCTATAGGATTTTAGAACTCAATCAATAATATATTTTTTCCAGAAATATATATATATAGTCAAGTACAGGTAAGGGAAAAGGTTAAAAAAACACATCCCAAGCTCAACACCATATATGTGGGGGAGGCAAAACACCCAACTAAATATTTTTCTAGTACACGAGTGTTAAAATGCACCATGTTTAAGTTTGAGAATGCACTATATATCAGCGTTATCAACAGCATGAGATCCCGCCATAGTTGCCGCATGGCGGCCTGCGCTGCTGCCATTACCGCCATCCGTCACAAGTTTCTAATAGCGGTTAGGCAGACACCCACCACACCATACTGATATGACAAAAATTTGATAACGTTCTAGATATGTAGCATGGAACAAGTCATTATTTAACATGTGAATATAACATAGCAGAATAGCATCAATTTCACATTCATAACAAGATTACAGAAAGAAATCATGTCTAAAGGTTTGCGGACTTACAATTTCGTCATAGAAACTACCCCTTGAAGAGCACCAGACGTGCCACCAAGAATTGGAAGTAGAGCAAACAGCAAACCCACTGCACAGTCCTGGCAAGCAGAGCCATCTCAAACTTCAGACAAACGTTTATAAACGTCAAGTACTACAAAACTTAAAGGCTTCATGAAAGCTTAATTTCCAAGCATCGTAAACAAAACAAGACAGTGTTGTTTACAAGTGTATGGACATGTACAGAGAATCTGGGTACTCCCAAATTATCACTGAATATACAAATGTAAAGTTGATACAGACCTGCAGAATAAGGGTTCCAACAGTGACCTGGCCATGTAATGTATTGATACTATTCCTTTCCATCAAAAATTTTAGAACCTGCATGCCAAAAATATATAAATGCATTAGTTGGCATAAGGTCATCACCAAGCAAGAGAGACAGAAATACTGTTACATCAGTGTTATACTGAACTTCTGGAGGAATATAATGGATGAATTTGATACAGATTAAGTTTGAAAATCCAGCTAAAGAATTAGAAATGCGACCGCTCCAGGGCCACTTCCATTACTTCTACAAGGAAGTTAATAAGAAATGTAGGCATTTTATGCCTTGTTTCTGCCATTGCTATGAACAGGCTTTTAAAAGGAATAAAAAAGTACTTAAAATAGTAAAATACATAAAGTTTCTAGAGGAACTTCTACTGCTGAATTGCTCATTAACATGGACTAGATTTCCACGAGCTTTCAGGAAATGTAGCATATCCCCCTATATATAATTTCAAAACGTGTTGAGCCTAAGTAACAGGCTCACACGTTTCGTAATCTAATTTGTCACAGATATATGCTTTGGTTGATAAATGTCAGGTTCGGTTGCCACATCATTTGCTAACTAGGTTTGGATATTTCCAAAAAATCAGCAATACTTTTCCTTTATTCTGATTTTCTCTTCTTCCATCATATCAGATTAATCATTCCTCAACGGCATAACATATTTGGCTTATCAATCAATCAATATATTTATTACATAATTTTATCTTCCATATCATTATCCCATTTTTCATTTAATCTCTTTCAATTTTTATCACTCTTAATAATTTTATTTATTATTCTTTTTTTGTTCTTCTTCACGTAAAATTACATACATTACTCATTTTCAATATCTTCTTTGTGTACCATTTTTTTACTTCTTCATTTGCTCAATAAAGTTATCCGTCGACCATAGTCGTTATGTTTTAACGTAATTACAAACCCTGGTAGTTGTCCTAAACTTTTTCAATTTCATTTTTTATGTGAACTGAAATAACTATTTTTACTTTAGAAAATTAGAAATTTTTAAAAATTGGAAAACTACACAAACTCGAAGAAACAAATCAAATACGAAAGTTCACTTATCAAAATAAAATAAATATATTTTTTAAATTATATCAAACCTTGAAAAGATAAATATTTTGCATAAAAAAATATGACAATTTTCATAAAATTAAAAGCGTTTGAACGTTACAAGAGAGTGCAACATCAATACCGCATTAGATAGTATACGTTGGATAAAAAATAAATATTATTTGTTTATTATATCTTATTAATATTATTAAATTTATAAACTATTTAAAAAATTATATTCAATAACAAAGATGAACAGAAATAATAACATTAACTGTAAGCGAACATATTAGTGTCAATTATTTCAATATATTTAAAATATATGAGTTGAAATAAAAATAGTTAATTGCTTGAATTGACTATATAAATATAAACCACTGACAAAAAATAATCAACTCAAGAAGAATTTTGCAAAGTGCAATCCAATTCGCAAATAACTTAGAAAAGTTTGGAACCAAATTCATAGATTTGGAGTCAATATTTGTTTCAAACATATTTTTATTTATACTAAGCTCATGTAGCACTCAATAACATTGATATCTAATGTCGTATGATATGGGTTACAAAAAATATTAGTTTAATGTGTTTAAAAAGTTACCATTTGAGAAGTCACATGCAATATATGAATCACATTTTCAATAAACTTAAAACGTAGCTTTTAAATGAGTCGACAACTTAGTATATACTTAATATTTAGNTGGCAACGACATTCAAAAAATTAAAATGAAATTGTTATGTGTATCTTTAAATATTTGTATGTAAATATTTCTTAATACAATACCCGTGTAGTACACGGATATTGTACTATTAAGTTATAACTTAGCTTTCTATTTCCTTGGGCACTCCAATTGTGCACCTTCAACAAACACTATGCTAACAGTGGCAGACTCCAAATGCAGTTTACTTTTCATAGAAAGAAAGATATTTTCAACGTGAATAGCAGATAAGCTTGATACTTTGTGATTTATTGATATTTTACTTTGTGACATTCTACGGGCACCATGGAAAACTCCGCAGTACACATACACCATAGCAGTCTTCTCAGTAGTATTGGACTATTAGCTTAGATATTGCTGCAGGTATCACTGGATGTAAGCATCCTTAGATTCTTAAACCATGGGAAGCAATTCGAGGTTTCAAATGAAAGAAAAATAGCCTGATAAATGTACATAACAGCACGTATCCTGTTGTACTATATATAAGAAAGTATTATTCCATAAATATAGAGAAAAATGGGAAACTGACAAATCCTACAGGATAATTATCTGTAATCTCACAACAACAACAAAAAAATCACTTCAGAACAAAAATATGATAAAAAGGTACCACTGCCGTCGAAGACATCGAGAGGAAGACACCAACAAAGACACCTTCAGATGCTTCCCCACCGCATAACTGGAAATGAAATGGTCACCTATAGGTATCAGAACTAGAACAGGATGAAGGATTATACAAGCAAACTCAGAAATATCTGAAGGTATGCAGACCAAATATTAAAGAATATTTGGGAATAATGATTCAGAAATCCAGAAATTTTAGGCCGATGCTTCATTACTGAAATTTAGTAGAATACTTCATCAATACTTCAATAGTATGTATAACAACATTTTGACAGCAAAGTTGTGCAACATCTAAAAAACTGGGAAGAGAAAGCATACTGATGCCGTTATCCCACTCAAGCACAGAAACAGAAATATCTGAAGCAACCCACCAAAGACAGCAACTGCTCGCACAACACGAATCTGCATTATGATTGCATTACTTCAATAAATCTTGTTATGTCACACAACAAAATAGGAAAAAAAATGTAATTTAGATAAACAGAAAAGGTCAACCTTCACTGCGGAGAATTCCAAACCCAGTGCAAAAAGGAGAAAAATAACTCCAAATTGTGCCACTGTTTCAACCTGGGTACAAATGTCACGTCAAAATTCAAATGCCACATACCCTCGGGTAGAGAGAGGCAATAAAATTAAGGTGCCAGCAAAAGAGTAAGTTCAAATGAAAACGAAGACCACCAGCAACATACTTGCACCATTTCACTGACAAAGCTAAAACCCCCAGGCCCAATCAGAGATCCTGCTAGTAAATATCCAGTTATAACCTGCAAAGTTGAAACCATGTATGCTCACAGTTAATCTTCATGGATCAACATTTATCCCAAGTTTCATAAAGCATGCACTATATTCCTTGATCAGCTAGAGACAGAAAATCATTGAAAACGCGAATTGAAATGCCAAAATAAGAAGTCCTAGAATCTGACCGGTTGTCCTGCACAAGCGAAAGCGATGCCACCACAGGTTGCAAATACAATTACAATAACTAGATCAGATATGAATCTGCAAACAATAAACAAAAATGTTGGATTCTTACAAAATACTAAATAACATAAAGTGTGTAATGTGAATGCCTGATGGGGAAACAAAGAACTCTGACCTTAAGTCCAGCTGTAAAACAGGAAATTTAGACTTCGGATTGGACATGATGAAGACATTGTCCTGAACATAGTTTATGACAATAGAATCAATTTCTACACATTTCTGAAAATGTAAACTTGCATTGTTGTGTGTAATTATTGTGCATTTTAACTCATCATACAAATAAGAGAATATTGTAACTAAACTTCCAGGTGGCTCAAGTGTTAGATACCTTCTTATCTATCAAGGTTGGTGTATCCTCAGGCCGATTTTCATTATCAAGATTAAAAACATCATGAAACTGAAATGACCTGATGGAAGCCAGATAGATATCAACAATACACATATAGAAAAGTTTATTATACAAAGATAATCAATTCCAGAGTAGTCAGTATAATGAAACAGACAGCTATTCCATATAATGGATTCAGATCGAGGAAGCATACTTCTCATCTTTCGTCTCATTCTTCTTGGGCTTAACTCTAGCAACAGTTTCAAGAACTGCCTGTAAATTTTTCAAATGATTCAAAAATAACATTATACACCANGCAAAATTAGAGAGGGTGAACAATATGATTCTGAGAAGATTTTTCGGAATTTTATATCATCTTACATTCACCTAACCATAACATGCTCACAAACAATTAAGGAAGAAAAGGCAGACTACATTAGATAGTGCTCTTATTTTTAAATCATCTCTCTTAAGTACAATGCAACAATGACATGGTAATAAGTCAAAAGACAGTTCTTCGTAATTTGTTTATTTTTTAAGAAACCGCAAGAAATCTATTGCACAAATTGTCGATGAAAATTTGTTTATCAAAACTCTCATTATATTGTAATCCTCTCAGTTAGAAGATTGAATCACTACCTTTCAACTCAAACCAGTGGTCTGTGGTCTCTCATGTATTCAAATATGTGCACTTAAAAATTAAATTCATCATAAATGTCATGTCTCATACAATCAGAAGAAAAGAATAAGGCAGGATTCTAGTGAACAAGCCAACTCATGATTACATAATACAAATGACAAAACATCACCAACATCACAAGAGCGGGAATCAATTGTGCCAACATCAATTCATTTTTTCAGCTTAAGTGGTGGTCAACCTCTATTTGACCTTCAAGTGCAACTAGCAATCGTGCTGAGACTTTTGCCTATGTGCTCAAGTGATAACTTACCCAGTCCCACGAAGATAGGCATGTCGCACGAATTAAATTAATTGTTGGTGGAGCCACTAGAGTTATAGCTCAAGTATTACTGCTCATCCTTTGAAATGGTGTTCACGAGAGTTCTAACCTTGTCACTTCCAGTTTCTTGGCTCGTATTCCCTTCACTCAACTACACCAATTACTCCCAAAAAATTTGCTCATGTTTTTTTCAAGGTTACATTGGGAATAAATGCAACAAGAGTTCAATAGCTATCGAAGCCAAGTGTATTTCAAAAGGCATTTGGTCATTCAATGTGCAACTAATTCCATCAAGGAAACTGGCCTATTATAATTCAAAAAAGACAAGAGGGGGATTGGAAGTATTTGGTTTTTCACTTTACCATACTTAATAGAACAAGTTAAAGCCTTCACAGTGGACAAGTGGAAAGAAGAGGATGCACCACAAGAAATCTCCAAGTATCCACAGCTATGAATGAGTATGTGATGCAGAATAATTAGATTATTATTATTATTATTATTATTATTATTATTATTATTATTATTATTATTATTATTATTATTAGTTATCTTGGAGAATAAGTTAGGAATTGTTTAATATTTAATAAGAGTTCTTGTCTTGTTGGACAAGTTAGGTCTAGGGTTAGGAGCCTTATATAAAGGACTCTCCCTAGTTTATTTTCATTAGTTGATTATTAAAATGAAATAAGATATTGGTGAGTTTTGTGAGTTTTATCGAGAGAGTATCTCGTTTATGGTCCCACTCGTACGCTTCCCTACATCAGTGTGACATATATCAAAATGATCCATGATTCACATTTTAGAGTTAACTTAAAATTCTGGGCATCCACCTTTGTCATAGAGCTAAACCAAGCCCAAACTTCAACTATAAGCACTTTAGACAAACCTGTTGTTCTGCCACGCTGTTGTTGAAACTTCCATGATCTGTGGCTGCCAAGTTTAAAAGAGAGAAGAGAATGGTTAGAATTCAGACTCAAGTCAACGATATCTTTGCAACTTGAGATGCCATATTCTAACATAGGTTTATTATGGTTCCCTTAGTTACACCAAAAACCCACTAACTGATCGCGTAGTTGAATAAGGACTATCCAATCGACCAAACTCCTTCACAGACCAATTATGTAACCCCGTCATGTTAATATTGTTCTTTTCAACATTGTAGGCAAGGCACCATTCGATATTTTCTCCATAAATGTCAACTCCATATCTAGACCAAATGTATGCACAAAAACCATCCAATCTACCATGAGTTGCCAGCCTTCTAAGAGAACATACCGTGTCTTACATAAACTAATGAAAAGACATGATCACTTGCATTGATATCATCTCCACACACACATATAACTTTCCACAATTACTTCTCATAACCAACACATTATGTCCTGCAGTCTATTAAGCGGAAACTGAACCAAAAAATCGCTATGCTTCAAAAGGAAAGACAAAAAAATATTATTAGCCAATAGCCATCATCGAGCTTTAACCCCAAGCAGCATGTAGTGCCTAAATTCTTTTACAAGAATGTAACTGTCACTCTGGAAAATTAAACAAAAGGAACATAAATAGTGAAAGTGTGTATTTTCCTTGAGCAAGAATTTTGGAGGGGCACAAATGAACAACACTGTAGCGAAGAGCAGAGAGGAAATTACAGAAACCGGAAATCCAAACTAACCGTCAGAGATCTCATCAGTCTCGTTGAACTCTTTCTCCAATGCGTGATCGATCATATCAGCCAAACTATCTTCCTTCGGCCTGGTCGTATTGGTCGCAACCGTACCATTCGCCACCGCGTCTTCAGGCATTGACCTTCCGGCACTGAGTAGGGAGAAAATGAGTAAGAAAATTCCGAGAGCGTACGATATTCGCATCGTCGACCGGCGTGGAGATGGTTTTTGAGAGAGAGAATTCTTTAGTTGCGAGAGCGAATGCTTGAAGGTAGATATGGAGGTTGATTGAAATTACGGAAAAGGACCTCCATCACTTCCCGGATACTCGTGCTTTAGATCTGCACCGAAGATTTTAAGGTGGGTGCGGTGCACGCGGAGTGCTCTACGGTGTCACAAACGCGCATTAGTGCACAGTCACCTTAGTAAATGTTTATTTGGTGGGATAGGTCAGGATATCCTAGCTTATCCTACACTTATCCCACGTTTGTTTTGTGAGATTGAGGTCTGGTATAAGTGGTTAGCCCGGGATGAAAAAGCACTTTATCCCACTAAATTGGGATAACTCCATCCCACCAATTTGGCAGGATTCATTTAATCCCAGAAAGTCAATTTTCGGTCATGCCCTCTGTTTTTTTAAATTGGGACTCTTTTGACCTTCCTAACTACACTAATTACAACCTTACCATTATAAAAGAGATTTTGACAGATTGAAATTCCAGTGTCACGCATTCAAGAACCCTAGCCCCAAAAACAGTTCTTCGTCTCTTCTCACTCGGCAAGGAAAGTCGGCTCGACGCTGCTTGAAGAAGAAGCACCGTCTTCTCCGACCTGATTCCCAATACGTGTATGAATAATGATCATTTTATTATTTTGTCTTCACAGTGATTATTTTGATGCTTTCTTTGCACAGGAATTTTGCGTTGTAGGTGATTATCGAGTGTTTTCGGGGTAATGTGCTTGACACTTCTCTATTGGTGCGAAGAATTTGGGTTGGACCTTTATTTGGTTTGTGATGGATTGCTTTGTAACTCCTTCTCTGTGCTTTGTCTGTGTTATATTTGTTGACTTGTGGTGGCCGCATCTAAAGGTTTGTGCTTCATCCCCTCGACACCCGTCCGATGGAGACCCAAGGTTTCTGTGTCGTCACAGTGGCAGAAGGAGAAGGGGCTAGGGTTTGTGCGTGGTTTTGAAAATAAAATGGGGTGAAAAATGGTGAAGGAAATCTAAATTAAATCTGAATTTTTAAGGGTAAAAGTGTACTTTCCAATATTTATGTGAATGAATTCATTTTTTCAATTTTTTAAACAAATAACTTATCCTACAACTATCCAACGTAACAAACGCAACAAAAAAATAATCTTAACAGTACAATCCCAAATACGATATTATTTTTGTCCAATCCCATCCCAGCTAGCAAACATGGGCTTAAATCACAATATTTGGGATTAGCTTTATTTTAGTTGCTACCATTTCTTTTTAATCTTGTCGGATAATTTTTTTCAACTTTTTTTTTTCGAAATGATAGATTGTATTCCTCAAAAGAAAGATTAAAAGATAAAACTCAGAGGCTAAATAACAAGTCTGAACCACCAAACGGTGGAATTTGGGAGAAAGTGAGAAACACTAACTGTAGTGCCCTAAACTAAAAAACAAGGAAAAGGAATACGAGACAATTTTCAATGGAGTTGTGACCTCATCTTTCATAGATGCGTCCTATATCACAATACATAAAGTAATTAGTCATATAATCATATAATATATGTAATAGATATTAAAAACCAAAATACTAATCTAACCACTGCATTGTTGTGATCCTCTCTTTGCAGGAGATAAGAAAAACTGACTCCTGCAATTATTAAATATTAATTAATTAAAATATGTGAAATTATATATCGTAAGACTTTTATATAATAAAAAATTACTTTAACATAATTTAACAAATGCCTCATCAGTTTCATAAAGCGAAACGACATCTCCATTTTCCAATTCATCAATTTCACTTTTGAGCACAATCTTGCTATTGGAGATATATTTCTTATTCTTTGAATCGATTGTGGAAACCCTAAAATGTTGGTGGAATATAGTGAAATTTTGAAAATTATTTAAAACTTTAATTGCCTTTATTACCTCCACCAGAAGTCCCTAATTTCAGCAATTGTATCAATTACAATCAACCTTGTAATATTCATGGCAGTGGTAAGTTGAACTTCGCCTATACACTAAAAATAAAAAAATAATTAAATTATCACACAAATGTAAAACTATTGAAAGCATGCAAATTACATATAGCAATATATATAGTTTTAAATTTACCTCCCCAAGGGCGAGCTCTGCATAGTTGCATAATTAATACCCATGGCAGACCGGGTGCAATTTCTTGATAGTGTTGCTCGAAAGCCAAAAATTGGTCTACGTAATGATCCCAAAGCGTGCAAGTTATAGCAAATGCCACTGTAATTAGACACATAAGAAAAAACAAAAGCATCAAAGCAAAATACAACATTAGAAGTATAAATAGCATGTAGTTTATATATATAATACTGTGCAGTTTTCTTAAAAAAATTGTTGTAGGTAGACAAAAAGAAAAAAAAATGAATGCATAAAAGCAAATTACAACTTTATATGTTTTTCGTTTGTATATATAACACGTGTGCAGTTTTATAAGAATTACTACATTATATAAAATATGTGTGCAATATTTTTATATAGAAATTCTGTTGTAGTCAGTCAAAAAGAAAAAAAATTGAATGCGTGAATGAAAATTGCAACTTTATATGCATAAGATAGCGTGCCATTTATGTATATATATGTGCAGTTTTATAAAAATTATGTTGTTATTAGACAAACAGGAAAAAAAATTATTAAAGTAGATTACAACATTATATGTATCTATAACTTTAATTTTATATCTATAATATCACGTGAAATTTCATACAAATCGTGTTCTAATTAGAC